CGCTCTTCCCCATCCCCCTCCATTTGCGCAGCGACCATGTCGCCGCCAACCTCCTTCAGCCAGGAGCTTGTCACTCCGACCACCGACAGCGCCAGCCCCTCGGTGTGGGGTCCGTTCGGCGATCCGGCCGATCGGCTTTCCCTGTCCGTGGTGTCCTCCGGCGATGGGAGCCCCGGCGGGGAGGGCGACGACGATGATGAGGAGGACGACGATCTTGAGAGGGCCCGTTCCATTGGCCAGGTGTGCACCGAAGCCCAGGCCGTTCGTGGACCACCGCGGCCGGCTTTCCTGCCGGCCGCCAACCCCCTGTCGCCCTTCCTGTCGGCAGCCACCTCGCCGGTGGGGGCGCCCACCGGGGCCGGCATCGCCCCCGAGGCCGACTGGCTCGGCCACCATCCACCCCAGCACCAGCACCATCCTCAACAGCAGCAGCAGCAGCAGCAGCAGCAGCAGCACCGCCACCATCATGCTCTGCCGCCGATTGGCGTTGGGCGTCCCTTCAACCCACCGGGGCCCGGTGCCGCCGAACTGCCGGAGCCGGATCGCATCAATGTTTCCCTGTCCCCGCACTTTGGTGGAGGTCCGCCTTCCCTTGCCACTTACCCGGACCCGGAGCCCGTCCCTTGTCCTTCTCTCCGCCACATCCCCTCCGGTCAACTGACATCTTTGCCGGGATTCCCCCCCACAGGCATGCGGCAATTCCTGGCCACCCCCTTCCCGGCGGCAGGGGACGCCATGGGCGTTGGCAATGCCGGCACCAAGACCACCTCTTCTTCCATGGGCGGGGGGGTCGGCAACATCGGCAGTGCCGCTGGCACTGGCAGCGGCACCGGGAGCGCCAGCACCGCGTCCCCCTCGGGATCGCCCTACCTGCCGAATGCCTTCCAGGATATCCCGGCCGACGCGCCGATTCACGCCTTCCCCGCGCCGTTCCGAGGCGGCCAGGCCGGGCCGGTCCCGCCGTCCGGCTTTGCGCACCCCTCCAGCATCGGGTCGGTTTCGCCGTCGGCCCTGTTTGCGGCCAATCCGGCCGCCAGCCCGCCGGCCATGCTCTTCCACCCCAACCGCCACTCGCACCCGGGGTCGGTGCTGGACACGCCGCTGGTAGCAGCAGCCGCAGCGGCGGCCGCGGCCGCGGCAGCAGCCGCAGCCGGCACCACCTCTCCGACGCATTCCTTCTCCGCCAGCACGGTGTCCAATCTCTCGTGCTTGCCCTTGTCGTCACTGCCATCGGCTGCTTCTGGAGGGGCACCTGGGCACCCCATCGGCCAGACGTCCCGCATGTCGGTCGGCAGCATTCCGGCGACGGCCTCCGCCTCGCCCCATTTCCTTCTGTCGCTCATTGGCGACCAGTCGGTCCCGGGCCCGGCGCCTCTCGGCAAGAGCCTCTCCACCGAGGACCCGCTGCACTTCGGGGTGCCGCCGGGTGCCGTGGGATCTCCGTCTGGCGGGGGCGGGCCTTCTGCCGGGCCGACCCCCTCGCCCATCAGCCTCCTCGGGGCCTTCCCCCTTGGGCACCATCCCTTGCGGCTGTCTTCCAGCGAGGTGTCCCTGTCGACGGCCTCCCTCGAGGACCGGTCCCAGCAGGGGCCCGGGGCCACCCTCGGCGAGGGGCTCGAAGCAGCGACAGCCCCCATGGCCGTGCCGTCTTCATCGGCGCAGGAGGCCGAGGCTCAGGTGCCGGGGCCGGCGGCGGCGGCGGCGGCGGCGGCCGCTGCAGCCGCGGCGGCCGCCGCAGCGGCCGGCTTCCCCCCCGGCGCCCTGTCCGAATCGTCCATGCTCAAGATTGAGGATCTCTTCCACAATTTGAATGAGCGAGACCAGTCGGTGCTCTTGGGTCGACTGATGCGGCTGATCAGCACCACGCCGGCCACCACGGCCCCCCAGCAGCCGGGGCATCTGTTTGGTTTGCCGATTGGCGGGGCGGGGGGGTCTCCCTTGGGCGGCATCCCGGCCGGGGCCCCCTCGGTGTCCCTCTCGGCGGCGGTGTCCCCCTTGACGGGGTTCCCCCCGGTGACGCACTCCGTGTCGCCGGGTGCCTCGCCGCTGCTGACCCCGAGCGCGTTGTTGATGCTCCCGCCCGGGGCACCGGGCCCCGCCGGGGGCCCTGGTCCTGCTCAAGGCGGCGGCCTTGGCGCGGGGGTCGCGTCGGCTCCCTCGCCGATTCCAGCCATCGGCGGCGCCAGCAGCGGGGCCGGGGCCGGCGTTGGAGGCGGCAACCCCGGGGCCCCGGGCCCCGGTGGCGGCCCTGCCACCACCACCTCCTTCCACCGGCCGGCCTCCGGGGCCTCTGCCATGCCAGGGGCCTTCCTGAGCTCCTTCACCGATCATGCCCTGTTCCCCCCAGCTGGCCTGGGGTATGAGCCCTCGGCCGCGCACCACACGCACCCGACGGCCTCGTCTGCCTGGGCCACTCCCGGTCCGGGGCGCAGCGTGGGCGAGGCCATCGTCGATGCGGCCATCTCCGTCAGCAGTGACGAGCTGTGTACGTCGTCATATGTGCCGCCCTGCCCTCGGTGGTTTTGTCCCCCCCTCCTCCCCCCTTTGTCTCGCCCATCTGTCGTTCTGATCATGGATCGCTTCCTCTTTCCCTCCCTCCCTCTCTCTCTCTCTCCCCCCCTCCGTCGCCTTTGTCCGGCCCGCAGCCCAGCGTGGGCGCCTCCGTCCCAAGAGCCAGCCTTCTTCCTCCTCCTTCGACCATTTCTCTCCCTACCTGCCGATCGATCCCCCGGGAGCCGGCAGCAAGGCCCACAGCTCCCTGTCGGCATCGAGCCTGCCCAGCCGGTCCTCCTATCCCGGGCCCATGTACTCGAATAACGCGTCTCCCCTGCTGGCGTCCTTCGATGTGGGCACACCGCCTTCCGGTACGCTGCACATGTCCCCCTCCTGTCCTCTCCGCTGTCTTGGATTGTCCTCGCAGCGCCGTGTGGCCGCTCGGCTTGCCCATGTCACGCTAACGGCCCTGCCCATGTCACGCTAACGGCCCTGCCCATGTCACGCTAACGGCCCTGCCCTTTCGCACATGCCCACCCAGTGTCGATCGCCGACTCCCTTTCTTCTTCAAACCCCCTGGCTGCCCAGTTCCCGTCGCTCGACCATCTGAGCTCCGCCGCTGGCAGCGGCAGCGGCAGCAGCACCGGCCGTCCCGAGGCGATCTACTCCTCGGACGCCCTCAATCATCTGCCCGATGGCGGTGTTCCTGGAGTTGGCGGTGGCGCCAGCGGCGATGGCGGGTCCGTGTCCCTGTCGGGTGCCACCACGCCAGCGACCGCCGCCGTGCAGCTGAATGCGGCGCTCTACTCCCGCGACCGAGCCCGGTCCTGTCCAACTTCCCTGGCGGTGATCGAGCCTGCGCTGGATGCCGGCTCATCCGGTGCGCTGGATTCGCTGCCGGATTGTGCGTGTTTTATAATGTGTCACTTGGCGCCTGTCGGGCGGAGGCGCTCGTGCAGTGCCTTGCTCTCGCCGCCTTTCGCGAGGGGTCCTCCCCCCCCCCCCTTATAGTTGTTCCTGCCCGCCACCCCCCCCGATTGACCTCCTGTCCTTTGGCCACTCCTCGCCATGGTGCGCATGTGCCAGCAGCCCAGGCCCCCCTCGCAAAGGGACGCCTCTCCTTCCCTCTGCCGTCCGGATCGCGCGCCACGTCCCCCTCCTCGGCGGGCCCCTCGCCGACCAGCTCCCTCGCCCCGGCTTTCCAGCTGACTGGTGGCAGCGGCAGCGGTGGCATCCACCATCCTCGCATTCCTGGCGCCCTCACCAGCGGTGCCACCTCCCCCTGGGGAGGTAGCATCTTCATGGGTCGCAGCAGCCATGCGGCTCCGGGCACGGCCTCGATGCCGCCGGGCGCAAGCTCCAGCCCGGCCGGAGCCGGGGCCCCGGCCGCGCCCTCGGCCTCGGTCTACTCCACTGGCCGGTACTTCCGGCCATCCGGTGGGAGTGAGGTGGCAGCCGGGTCGGCCACCTCCTACGCCCGTCGGGCCGCGATCGCCGGCAAGCCAGCGACCGACCCCCTGTCCATTGTCGCTGGCGGCGACGGTGCCGGGCCGGCCGACGCCGGATCACCTGCGGCTGGGCCTCCCCCCTCCTCAGCGCGGGCATTCTCCCCCTCGCATCATCGCCAGGCCCTGGAGGTAGCAGTGGTGATGGGAGGCGAATCGGTTAGTGCCGCTGCTGGCAGCAGCACCGCCGATCCCAGCATCCCCCTGGCGGTCGCCACGTCCCCGGCGGACGTCGGCCCTCTGGCCACCGGGGTGACACCTCTCAGCCCACTCGCATCCTCCACCGCTCCGGGCTTGCCTTCCTCGACATCGGCCACCACGACGCTGGCTTCCGGCGGCCTCAACCAGCTTGTTGTCCCCGATCGCACTCGTCCGGCAGACGAGCAATCGGCCGGTGCGGAGACATCCTTCCTACCGCGCGCCCCCCGTGTCCACACCCGCCCTCCTCTTTTTTATGCCTTTTTTTCCCCCCTCTCGGCGCGCGTGTCTGTGCGTCTGTGCGTGCTGCCATCGCATACCGGTGTTCCTGACCTCCTGTGCCCCATGTGCCTCCCATCCCCTGTGGTTTACTTGCCCTCTTTCTTCGCCCCGCCTCGGCCTCCAGAAATCGCCTCTTGGCTGCGCTCTCAGCGCCTTCACAAATACTCCTCGCTCTTTGCGCAGTCCTGCTGGGATGAGATGTTCCAGCTGGACGACGCTGGTCTCGAAGCGCTGGGCATTGTGGCCATCGGTGCTCGGCGCAAGCTGCTCAAGGGCCTTCGCCAGCTGATGGTATCCGCCGCGCTCCTCCCCCCCGAGGCGGAGTCCGATGATGCGGCCTGACGTCCCCCGCCCTCCCTGTCGGAGGATTGCAAGCCCAAGCTCTGTCCCCTCCATCCTCCTTCCCCCCTTTGTCATTTTCTCTCTCTCTCCCTCTCCCCCTCTCTTCCTTCTTCGCTTTCCTCTTCTCCGTGCTGCGGATCAATCTGTCGTTCTGATCATGGATCGCTTCCTCTTTCCCTCCCTCCCTCTCTCTCTCTCTCCCCCCCTCCCTCCCTCTCCCCCCTCTCTCCCTTTCCCCCCTCTCTCCCTTTCCCCCCGTCTCTCCCTTTCCCCCCGTCTCTCTCTCTCTCCCCCTCTCTCCCTTTCTCCCTTTCCCCCCGTCTCTCTCTTCCTCTCACCCACACACCGACCTTTGTTTCCCCTCCTCGATCACGGCCTTGCTCCTCTTCTTTTTCGGGG